TTTCTCGCGACCCGAAACAAATTAACATTGGTGGTACCGCCCATCTCGTCAAGGCCCAATGCGAGCGCCAATTGGAGCAGTTTTTGTACCGCGAAGCCATGCATTCTGTCTCATTTGCGCTAGAATGTCTCTGGTACTTTACTGGAAGCTTGTATCTAGGACCAAAAGATAGCTACCATCGCACAATGACTCTGTTACTGGGAATCGAAAGCGTCGTTACAAACTCAACACCACCAGGCGATTTATTCAAAAAGGCCTACATGAAGGAAACATCCCCTCTTGACTCTTCGTCAAGCCCTGGTGCCTCCTCAGCTTTGCCCGTACCGGAGGAAGACTCTGTCCAACCTGACACAAAGAACCCGTCACCAGATAGTTTGCACACTGCTGCCACTGTTCGTCAAGTAGACCTGGACATCACGGGGAGCGGCGAGAACGACACCAGAATGCAATTCAGCGCTCTCAAAGTCTCAGACGAGGCTAAATTGCAACACTGGCTTGACGCTCGAACGGAGCGCTCCAATATTTTCCACGCTCAGCTCGACTTTGTCAAGTGCCTCACACACATTTCGCACGGTCTTTTTGAAATCGAACGAGAGCATCGTCGAGACGTCCTACGTCGCGAGCTTGAGAAGCTCAATGATTTCATTCCCACAAACGTCTTCATCCCGACAGAGCTCCGGCCGCATCGCGTTCTAAGAATCGTACCGGAGGACGCCCATGTGTTTTCGACCAAAGAGCGCGTCCCGTATCTACTTGTCGTAGAAGTGGAAGACCTCTCCACGAATACCCCAGACGCAGTTTCTCACCATGACTCGCATCGTGGCCCGGGACCGTTACGACGGATCGGAAGTCTGAGTTCTCCTGGACCGTCAGGGAGAAGCCCGACATCAGCGCGATCGCAGCGACACGCACCAAGCGAACGCGACGAAGTTGCGGGTGATCACATGCCAAATCAACCAGAGAGCAAGTTTGCATTTTCACCAGATGTGACCTCTGGAGTCGGATCTACCGGAAAGCTTACAAAGCGGGAAAGCTCCTTCAAATTTGATTTACAACACGCAGACGATCGCAGACCACCTGACGAAGAGTTACTCAAGGCTTTAGGAGAACCGTGGGCGAAGAAGAGTGAAAGATTACGGCGAACGAGCCCGTTCGGAAGCAACCCAAATTGGCGACTGGTTTCTTGCATTGTTAAGGCTAGAGATCAGCTACGACAAGAAATGTTCGCCCAAAGACTCATTCAAGAGTTCGCAAGGATATTTGAAAAGGCTTCAATCCCTTGTTGGCTGCGTGCTTATCAGATTATATCCACAAGCAGTGACTCAGGCCTTATTGAGACATTGACCGACGCAATATCGATAGACTCGCTCAAGAAGCATTCCCCAAACGTGGTGACTCTGCAAGATTATTTTGTTGGAAGATTTGGAGGTCGAGGATCACATGCCCATAAGAGGGCGGTGCGCTGTTTTGTCCAAAGCATGGCAGGATATTCCATTGTACAGTACTTATTGAATATCAAAGACCGGCATAACGGCAATCTGATGATTGACTCCGAGGGCCACATCATCCATATCGATTTTGGCTTCCTCTTATCAAATTCACCGGGTGGGAGCATGGAATTTGAGAAATCACCCTTTAAGCTCACAAATGAGATGGTGCAAGTCATGGGGGGCACAAAATCCGGTGCATGGAAGTTGTTTAAGAAACTATGTGTACAAGGTTACTTGGAAGCTTGCCGGTACGCAAACAAGATAATGCTCATGGTAGACATTGCTTACCCTGGAAATGAATTAATGCCATGCTTCTTTCATGGGAGGGAATATATTCTTGAAAACCTTAGGGATCGGTTGGGTGTTGACCTTTCAAAAAAGGAGCGAGCTTCACGCATGATGAAGCTCATTAATACTGCCCACGGTAATTGGACGACCAAGGCATATGATCAGTTCCAGAAAGTATCCCTTGGCATAGCAAAGTAAACGAGAATAGAAAGGATTGATGAACATATTCATCAATACTTTCTGAAATAACAGAGGCTAGTCGAACTGCCACGGAGCAAAATTCACTGTCATTCCATGATCGTGTACGTTCGACAATGCATGCGTTACCGTTGGAGGCGAAGAAGGTGGTGGGAGCTTTTGTATCGCAACGTATTTGCATGTCTATCTGCACATGACATCTCTTATATGGCCAAAGTTATAGCATATACTGGAGAATGGCCTCGTTTTGCAGGCAGCCGGCCTGCGTTGTTCAGCATCATTCTAGCAAATCGCCACCACACAGGCCATTTTGGAGTTAACAACTCGGATTGTACTCAAGACCCAAAGCAAGATGATTCTGCTGCGCAGCCGGACACGACCCGCAAGAAGCACTACCACCATTTTGTGACCCACAGCCTTTGTTCTCTAATTCTGAGGTCAGTCATACGGTCCGAATTTACGCATGTGCAGAAGAAGCTACTTCTAATTTTAAGGGTACCTTGGACGACGATCTCACACCGATAACGTACGTCCCCTTACTGGATCGAAAGGACAAGGTCGAGAGCTTTCCTGATGGACACAATGTGCTGTTGGTATCTTCGGCAACTTTACTCTCAACAGAGCTGATCATGAGAAGGTTGGCATTGGGCTCGCGAGACTTGTCACAAAGCGAAGCAGAAACGTGCTTCTCCTTCTTGAAGTCAGTGTGGATTGAATAAAAAGTGGTGTCTTGATACATGCCACCATATTCTGTAGTGGTCATCCTTGTCGCAAACGGCATCTTGTCTTCGGAAGCCTGCCCCCCGGAATGGAGAGTTGACACTGATGCTTCGCCGTCCATGTTCAAACGAAGAATTGAAAACGCCTTGTCCAACTTAGATGCGGCCATATTGATCCAGTCTCTCCCGCTTGCCACGTCCGTAAAGACGCCAGAATCTTCAGACATACATTTTGCATCTCCATAGCTGACGACCCCGACCTGAATCGTTTCCTTCGGTTTGTTTTTCGTGTCGGTTGTGTGCTTTTCAGCGGGGTGGATAAATAGACCTCCACCTGAATCCCCTTTGCACGCCGATGATTCTTTCTTGACACCAGCGGTGCACAACATACCATCTGGAGTCTTCATCTCAGTGCCAGGCACGTCGCAAAAGGATTTCTTTTTAATCCGAACCGCCGTCTTTTGAAGTCGTCTAGACATCAGTTCTACATGCTGTCCGGCCTCTTCTACAGTGCCAATATCCTTGATTCCGTATCCTACGACCCAAGCTTTTGAGTCGATTTTCGGGGTCACCTTCGACAGCGACACTGGTGCGGCTTTAGAAGACTCATTCAGAAGCATGACTGCAATGTCATTTGGTGACCCCACCCCACTGTATCTTGGATGAACGATGCTGGCAATGGTCTGAAACGTTTTCTTTTTCTCATTTGCCTTGTGATGGTCATTTAGTTCGATCCTCCCGACAGTCGCATATACGTGCTTCGGGTATCCATCGTTAAGGACGCAATGAGCTGCCGTCAGAAGAATATTCGGGCGGATGAGAGTAGCGGTGCAGAATCTTGATGACGATATGGCCACGGGACGTGCAGAAAGGTCAACCACAAACGGATACTCACTGTCGTCCGCCACCGGAATGCCATTCACGACCCTGGAAACTGTTGTAATAGGCTTGTTGGGTTCTTTACGGGAACCATCGGCAATTGGTGCGCCCCAACTCATGAGTACACAAGTACCTAGAATTAAGGTCACAAGTAGGCGGTTTGAAATCATAGGCCTGTTCGAGCACATGACTGGCGCTTTGCATTTCTTAATGACGAACATTAGTTTGCCGGCAGTTAAAGGAATTCTAGTTGCAAGCAAAGTTTCGTGTCTGAGGGTCGACGGTGGCAAGGGTATGTATTTCCACCTTGTTGTTCCAACAGCCTGGGGCATGCGTGAGTAACTCTGTCTATTTTAAAAGTAGAACGCAAAAGAGTAAAACACTCTAGTGTTGAGCAGCATCGCGTGGCTTGGTCTTGAGTCCCCATATTCTTTCGGACGTGTTCCTACGGGCTCTCAATTCGAGTTTTCTGTACAGTATCGCCTCTCAAAAAATTTACGTTGGTTCTGAGGCAGACAATATGTGTCTCGCCCGTAGAAGCAAATCGCAAACGATCGCCAAACTTGGTATTCCCGAGTGAATGTGCCCCTCATCGTCTGCTTCATCTGTGTCCGACTGGCGACCCCGCAGAATGCCCATCACGTCTCCCATGTCGGCCCTTTCAAACTTGTCGCCTATATCAGACGTTGTTCCTGGTCACATGTGCAATCGTATCACCCAATTCTCCCTCTTGCAGTAGACACACCGAAATCCCCCGGATAGACACTTAAATTAGAAACCAACTTCTCCCCTCACGGTGCCTGGGGCACAAACCAGGATGTGTTGATGTTGACATCAACACATCCTGGCATAAACACATCGTGCTTGATGTCAAGCACAATGTGTTTATGCGCACACGTGTATGTCACTGCTGTAGCCCCAGGAAGGGAAGCAGTGGGAAATGTATAAATTACAGTACATCGAATCTGTTGAAAGATGCGATTTAGGGGATATCCATTCGACGCGCGCACTCCCCACCCCCACAATCTGTGCAAAACGCCGCCGCAGGTGCCCACATTCTCGCCCTCTACCAAGGGTAGAGGCATGCTGTCGAGCTTCCTCCTGTCCGCGCTCAGGGGCGCCCCATCCGCGACAACAGACTGACCCCCGTAGATCCTGCGCTGAGGCTCCTGCCACCCCCGCGTGCCGCTGTTCGCGCCTGGAGCTGGACGCCGCGTCCCGATGGCTTCCTCTACGTCGCCGAATCTACCGCCTATGCTGCGCCCCGCTGCGAGCAGCCCTTGAACGAACCTACCCCCTTTTTTCCACGCCGCGCCGCGAGCCGCCCTTCGTCGACCCTACCGCCACTGCCGGGCCGAGCCGCGCGTCAACATTCGTCATCACGGGCTCACTTCATGCGCCACTCATGCACGTGTACTACTGCACTATGACAATTCCGTTGCGAAGGCTCTACAGTAGGCGAAGGGAGCAGCCGACCTGTGCTCCCGCTTGTGACGATTACAGGCGTCTCAACAAGTGTCGTGTAGACGTCCCTTGCGCGTCATCAGCTTGCCCTCCCTTGTACAATCAGGGAAGGAGCAAGCCAAGCTGGAAATAAATGGGGAGGTGCGGGCGTCTCTTTGCTCCCGTAGAAGCAAGTAGTTTCTTCACATCAAATCCCCCCTGTGACCTTCTTCCAACCCTCCCGGCGCTAGTGTCTATTGGACATGTGGCCTCATGTGAGGTCATTTTTAACTTATTTTTTCTCGACTTGTGCTTGCTCAACAGGAAGGAAAAGGATACTCTCGCCACCGCAGTTGAGGGTGACCCCACCGCGCCTTGCCCAAAATTGCAAAAAGCAGACAGTTGTCCTCCGGTAATTGGATCTACTATCTTTTAATCAAGCCGCGCTTTGGGGGAGGTGGTGATTCAGAGATGAACCCCACCGCGCCTGCAACACGATACATCTATTCATATTCAGGGTCACCCCAATTAGGCTACAAGTATGTCGTAGAAATACATTTGGCGCAAAGAAGCAAGCTACTGCACGCGTCTGTTCCACAATTGGCGGCAACTTTTGCTCGTCACTTGCCCGCTCTCCATAATATGTAGGCTCCTGTTTGGGAATTATCAACTCGGCAAGTACACCACGCTTTCAATTCCTATTATGGACTCTGGAACTGCGCTCTCAGCAACGCACAGGGCAAGATTCTCCTCGTCTGACCACCCCAATCCCTTACCCTTTTTCCTCACTCTTACTGCCGAGTCATCAGTCCTAGTAACCACCTCAGCCATTGCCTGCACTTCTCAGAAGACGAGAAGGAGGGAGAAGATGGGAAATGTCCACGAGCGAAGGCTGCACAACACTCCTTTTTGCGTCCCACACTATTGATGGGACTTCAGTCAAAACAGCCCCAATGCCATTTGGAAGAGCTTTGGTAGAGCTGTAAGCACAAGAAATTCAGATGTTTTCTGTACCGTTACTATAGAACGAAGCTCGCCCAAACGGCGCTTTGGACAAAAATCTCGACCAAATAATTTTGGTTTGGAAAAGAATCCCTCCCAAATTCTAAACTTTAGGACAAATGGTGGCGCGGTGGGGTTCAAAATTTCTTCCATCGGTCCGAACTTTAGTCCATCGGTCCAAACTTTAGTGGTTGGAATTTTACGACAGAAATTTTGTTGGCGGTGGGGTCACCCTGACTTCTGCGTTGCGGAAGGGTAGAGTTTGGTGAGATTTGCACGTCTTTTCCAGCCATTTTTAGAATGCCTAAAAAAGAAGCCTTTTGAACAACCTCAAAACGTTATGTGTTGATATCTTCGAAAGTAAAAGGTTTGTCTAAAATATCAACCGAAGATTGAAATCTCACTAGATTCTTAGTCTTTCTGTGAATTTACAAATGCTATCCCAATGTTCTGCAAGATGATATCCCTAATGCCAGGATTTTGTGATCAGTATACTGATCACAGACTTTAAGCAACTCTAAGTTACCGGTATGTCAACTTTTTCTGAAACGTGCTACACGTGGGTCAAGAACAAGATTGTGTAATTGTCTCCAAGAAGTTTCAAGCTCGTCCTTGATAAATTGACGGAGAGAGATCGAACTATACTCACAGACTTCAGGCCACTTTCGAACCACTCAAATCTGCTTATGATCAGTATACTGATCCATACCGTAAGGATCAGTATACTGATCATAACGTGTTAACAGCGCCTTTTTGAACCAAGAGACAACTTTAATGACTGCCACGCGCGCGTCTCCCAGCGAAGAGCCCCGCCGTCCCCGCGCGCGCGCGCCACTCGCCCTGCCCACTGCGCCGACGCCGCCGCGCCGCTGCCCGTCGTGCGGCGGCCGCCGCTTGGCGCGCCGCCGTGCGCCCCCTCGTGCGGGACAAATGGCGCACGCCGGCTGCCGTCCCGTCCCTCCCCCGACCGCGCTCCGGCGCCGGCGGGAAGCGTGTGCAAGCCGGCGCGGTGCCGGCGCCCTGTAGGCGCGCGCCCGCCCGCCCGTGCACTCTGCGCCGCGCCCGTGCCTCACGTGTACCCGAGCTTGTCCAAGAAGCGGTAGTAGAGGGAGTTGGGCGGGATGGAGAACAGAAAGTGCTTGGTGGCCAGTGCTCAGACCATGTTCTAATTATTCACTTCTACGTCGACGACTAGCTGGCTGACTACTTCTCGCCCCCAGGGCCATTTGATTACTGGGGCTAGGGCGCTTCCTTGACCGACTGCGTGTTACACGTGATACTGGCTCGCTGGCGGTAATTGCATCCGTGCGGTCTTCACCCTCACCAGGACTGCTCGTAGTTTCTTGCAGTATGTTAGGAGCGTCGTGCTGAACTTGCTGTTCAACAAATTCATTTCCGCTTCCAGTACCCGGACTATCCGACCGGGATGTAGGAGGACGAGTAGACCGCAATGATAGATTCGTCGCAGTATGCCACAAATGTCAACAACTCTTCCGTAGACCTGTATACGTTCGCACGCAAAGGTGTACGTTACAGATAGTACAAGAAAATGAACTTCGGTGCCCTCTATACCCAGACTTGTTCTGGCCGCACAATGCACAGTATAGAACTGTACGATTTTGTTTTGGTGTATGGCCCCTGACAGAAACTCGAAGCATAGTTCCTTCAGGGCTTTTAAAGAAAGCGAGTCGATTTCTCTTCTTTGAATGGGCGAGAGTAATTAGTCGATTCCTCTCAGGAACAGACACTAATTCACCTTCCACGCAGTCATCTTTTTCTGCGAGTACCATGTTACATGCATGAACTAATAATTCTTGAGAGACGTCAAACATGAAATCTGCCGTCGATTGTACCTTATTCAGAAGGTTTCGGTAATGCTCCAGTGATCAAAATGTTTCTGCCGACTCGAGGAGGTCTTGTCGTTCATACATTCGCCAACCAAAAAAGGCGTTCACCGCCAACGTTTTAAGTATTTGAGAAACTATTTTTTGCTCCCACTTGAAATGTGAAGTTGAGCTCCTTAAAATAGCCCTTTGTTGTGTCGCTCCATCGACACCACCTTTGGTCTTCGAATAAAAGCTTTGCGAGGGGTGCTTGAATAGTTTTAGAGGAACAAAAAATTCGTTAAACTTCACATAGTCATTGACAACTTTCCAGAACTTTAGCCTTGTCGATACTGTTTTCTTTTTGTCACTAGAAATAAAGTTGGGTATGGTGGGGTTGTTTTCATGAGCCCATTGGACTATGGGTTCAACAGTAGAGATCAGTGCAGACCTGCAAGTGACGGCAAGAGTATCAGGGAATCTGATGATGACTGTGTACAAAAATTCCGGACTCACCAGCCATAACGAAGACACAGTAATGCACACTTAGAACAAGTATTTGTTGCAAAATTTGCCCCATGTGTTCTTTCGAGATGTACTTTTTGAAAGAAGCGTCTCCAACGGTGCAGAAAACTGGCTCTAAAGACGAGAGAGATGCAGAGGAACTCAATGTAGATGCAGCAACACGTGTTTTGATCTCTACACAAGCAAAAATTTCATTTTCATCGTCAAAGAGATCAACTGTCTCGTCCCCAGCTTGCATTAAAAAGGTTCTGTCCAGTACGGAAACTCCATCAGGAGAGCAGGCAAGGTAAGGATAGTCCTGTAAAGCAACCATGCCCACCTCAAAGACTCTTTTAATGAAAGGCATTGAACGTAAGGCACTAAGCACCGCCTGCTCGTTCGCACTTTCTCGCATCATAGCTTCTGTTGATAACTTGGAGCTTAACCACCCCTTCTCAAAAATGCTAAACCACTCTTCGTTTGTCCTGTACACCACGTCTTCTGCTGCCTGGAGACCAACAGCCTGTTTAACGGATTGGTTGCTCATCAGCACTAAGCCCGCATTTGTGCCGGTCACTCGGAACTGGTGTAACACAAACCAGTCTGCGCAGCGCTGCCCAGCAATTAAGACGTTACAAGTGGCCCTTATGTAGTTCTCTGTCACGGCCTTCAAATAGTGTGCCTCTGGTTGTTCAGTTGGTCTCTTGCAGAACAAAGCATTACTTAAATTGTAACTTTCTTTAGGAACAGCCACCCAAGTGTTTAAAGTTGCCTGAACGCTCTCTGGTACATGGTACATGAACCTTAGTACCTTACTGTATTTCTTAGTACCGTGTTCTCTGACAGCAATCGCTGTTATCCTGCGCTGTGCTGTCCTGCCACCAGACAATGGAGCTGATTTTGTCGCAACAAATGCTTCCGGCCCTAGTGTTGGTGCATCATTTATGATAAATGCCCTTCGTCGGTCATGAAGCACTGTGAGTAAATCTTCATGAAGCTCGTCGTTAAGAGTCGCAACTTCATCAGCAGAGACAAGCTGTGCTGCCTCGTCGTCTTCATCTGAGTCACACCTACGGGGATCTAGGCATGACGCTGCCACAAAAGGATGAACTCTCAACAAATGATCTGGCATTACAAACACTGACCCGACACCAAACTCAGACAGCAGGTTCATAAAAAGATTCCCTCCCATACCCTCAGTCAGCTGTCACAATGCATCCACTCATAGCCTCTTCTCCTCTACCATCCATTAGAACACTTAGCAACTTACGCACAGATGAAATTTGAGACTCCCCCCGACTACGAAATCGGATTGCAAGCACAATTCTAAAAAGGGCATCAGCCACAGCATCTGCAGAGTGCCCCTCCCGGTCGGCCTTCCGGGAACTCAGCATTTTGACCTGATTATCTGTCGCTCTAGTTCCATAAAGATCATCATCAAGGGTCGCCAACAGTGTCAGGGGAGAAAAAAAACTTTTCTTGTTTCGCGGAATGCCAGTGCTTCGAATTCAGACAAGTTTCTTGTCAGACCCCGTTGTGAATTCCAACTGATGGATCCATCCTGACCCTCCCAGTTACAGCGAACGCCTTCACATTGTCCGCGATGAACCTTACCCTCTCTACAGAAGGTGGTAAGCAACCACTTTGCCAAAGAATTGTAATGCTTTTGTCGAAACTGAAACCCGATGTGTGGGATAGGAGCAGTACGGAAACGTATCTGTACATGTCAGCGACAGTGATAACATCGTCATTGTTATTCGTGCGTATCATTTCGCTGAGCCATTCGCACAGTTGATGTAGTAGACCATTCATAAAGAGTACCACAACACCGCTTCTTGTGGGGGTTATTCCTCGCACAGTACATTCCAGCTTCATTTTGTTGACTGCGGTACTGCAAAATAGTCTAGCTCGCTGCTGGATCACCTCATCCACGAACACTTTTTCCATAACAATTGAATGACACTCAGAATTTCTTATTGTCCAGCCATCACATGGTCGATCGCTTTCTGATCTTCTCAACCTACTCCGACCCCGCCCACGTCCTCTACCTCTTGCGCTTGCAGCTGCTGGTGTTCTTCTTCTTCGACCCCTGCCCCTAACGTTTGGTAACGCGGAACGCCCTCGACCATTCATGGGTGTAGAAGGCCTAAGTGGAAGGTCAACGAGGGAATCCGTTGCAAGCGATGAGGGATGAGAAACAGACACGACAGGCGCCCCATGTGGGTCTCCGATACCCACCAATTCATTCGTGATGGGTGCTGCTACCTCTGGACCAGGACCGTCGCCTGAGTTGAACTCAAAAGTCTCAGTGGGCAACATCAGGAAAGGTGTTGAAAGAAGTGTTCACCATTTGGTCTGTGGTCACCCGAATTTGAAGCTTGAAAGATGAGCTCCTTCAGGACTACCTTCGGATCACAGATTCAATCTGCT